CCAGGAGGCTGCACCTCGAACCTGCCCGGCTGCCGCGCGCAGCTCCCGCTCCCTCCCCGGGGGCACAGCCCGCTCCCGCGTGCCCTGACCCCAGGCCACCGCCGCCTCTCCAAAGATCTGCAAATAACCAGGACAACGGGAACACACTAACACTTTTTTCTTTTCATAAGCGTACGAAAACGCCTTCAGGCTCTCAAAAGAAGATTATCTCCTATCCTGAAATTGCAAAACACATAGACAATTTTGGGCAAGTATGCAAGGCTTTACGGACTTACCTAAAAATAAATTTATACGCTGAGTGTTAACAGAAACACAGCCCCTGTGTTGTGGCAGAAAACCAAATACAGACTGCCTGTCGACCACAAGGCAATGGGACTATGAGCAGGATGTAAATATTGAAGTTAGCTACCCAGTTCCAGGTAGGTGTCTTATGACAGACAATCCGGGCATCTTCTTTCCCCAACAAGGAGCTACATAGCACAAAACTATCAGTCTTGATTTAGCAGCACACAGCTGGCCAACACAATCGACTTCTGTTCATCAGACAGAGGCAGGGAGAAGAAAGGTCTCTGCACCCACTCCACGCTCTAACTCTGAACGTGGGTGCAAGAGAAGGCCTCACCAGCACAAGGTTTTGGCAGGTTTATACAAGCACACAGGTGAGACTATACACACAAGAACTCAGACTATGCTACTGAAACCGAACTAAGGACAGAGGTTCTTCTCCTATGTACTTCTACAAGATAAAGAAGACACTGTAGAAGCAAACTGAGCTGATTTCATACTTGCTACTAAACACACAGAAGAACTGAAAATGAACAAGTTGAAGGCCATACACTTCACTCATCAGCAACTGAGAATCTCTCAAAACTTAGACTTCTTGCAACTTGATGACATTATTAAAGCAAACGTACATGCTTTCTAAGCCTTATGATTGAAAGTAAAGTGCTTGCTTTATTTGAATATACAGAGTTTTCTGAAGGAGTTATACTTGTCTAGCTATTGAAATACTTTGATTCTCCTGCTGTCCATCAGTTTGGTGAGAAAAACAAAGCAGTAGTAGAACAGTAATAGCTAAGCACTTACGTGAGACTGAACTGCATTTTGTCTCCCTACACAGAACATGAAAATCCAAGAAAAATTTTCTACTGCTTTTATAAGACGAATGCTACGAGTGCCAAATGGACTGAATAGGTGAAGGGAAGGAAAAGAGTGTAATGATACTTCAAAACTTTAAATACAAAAGCTCATTAATCTTAACAAAATGATTCTATATATTAAACAAAAATAACTGTACTGTATCTATGACACAGGTATTAGTGAATCCCTCAAGAATAACTACTAAATTTAACTTATTCTACTTAATTAGCATTTGTATGCTGAAATAATATTCACTCTAGGACAAGATTATTCCTACTTTCTGCAGGAATGAGTGGTTATTACTAATTTTAAGTTCAAGGAACTACAGTTATAAGAGCAGGACATTTAACACAGGTATTAGTGCATTTTCCTTACTCATTGTATCATTAGAACATCACTATTTTGTATATTTTACTATCTTCATGCCTTTTAGGGCAATACATATAAACTCCAAGAACATCACACAATAGTATCAGACAGTAAAAGGTAACGCAGAGTAAAAGTGTATCTTTAGTAAGGAAGCAGTCAAAGTAAAACAAAAATCAAACTAAGTCATCAAATACTCAGCTCTGTAGTATATTATAATGTTGCCTAACCTTGATAAAATCTTTGATGAGCTGGGCTGCTTTAACCCCATTCTGTACATTAAAGCTTATATCAACTTTTACTTCAGTGAAGGAATCTGTCAGTTTAATAATAGGTACCTGCAAAAGAAAGACAGATTAAGTCTATACAGATTTCCAAGACACATTTGGTTTCCTTCATGCTTATATGCACCAGTAAAACTTAAAATGTTTCATGAATTTGTAGAGAGGAGGCAGACAGAGAAAACAGGACTCCTGTCTATTTATGAACTCACTCTCCTTGTCAATCTGTTTACATAAACTTTGCTTTTCTAACTCATAAATGCTGTTTTCAATTTACTATCCTGCTTAACTGAACTTAACACTTCATCTTCAAAGTGACTGATGTTAAATTGGTTTTAGTCAGTTCGTGGTGCAGAAGCATAGCTCTAGTGGGAAAAACAAACACCAGAGGGAGACAAACGCTTAAGAAATACAGACAGATAGGTACTATTCAAAAAACACGCCCATGTGTCATAGCTGGTCATTGATTCCTATCAAAATTGTCTCCAAACAAGCAGCACAAGATACTGAGAGCACTCTGACATATCTCCATCTAAGTGGTTTCCAAATTACCTCTCTCTACTAATAAGAGCCATCAATTAGACACCTGTTTAAACCCCAACACTTACGTACTCTCACAATTAGCAAAAGGTAGGAAGTTATAATGGAATTAATCCCATCCTGTGCAAGACATACCATTTTATATTTATAGAAGGCTGTACTTTCTACTTCCATGTGCAAATGAATTCTGTCTGCTTGCTTGCAATAAGAAAAAATAAACCATTTACTCATGTACAAACTCAGCCCAGATATTCACAAGTCTAATCACACTAATTCACACCAATGACTAGTATAACCTCACTTAAAAGCAAGCATACGTTGTGCAGTATGGAAAATCCAATGATTTTCCCCAATAGAAGAAACGCTTCTGTTGGAGCACTATCAATTATTTTGTCAGTAATAAAAACTGTACTAAATAAAAAGCTTCTATTGGTTCTATTTCAAATTCATATATAAAATAGTTTCTGTTTATGAAAATTCCTCCTTTTAACCAAGATCTTTCTTTGCTAGAAATTTAGCGTAAAACAAGGAAACACCCTCTTCCCCCAAACTTACAGTTGCTTTATCTAAAACCTTGACTGAGTTTTCATCTGCTACATTGTGCTTTCTAAGAGCTTCTTCCAGGGTCCAAAGAGGTAATGTCTCCCATTTTCCGAACACAACTAAATCAATATCACTGCAATGGAAAGAAAATTAAATTAAAAGACCAATACACTTAAAAGATAAAGAACCAACATCCACACATAACTAGAAAAAAAGCTGACAGAATCTAGCTTAACCAAACAATTTATCCTCAATTTTCTGAGGAAAAGGGTGGGGATGAACTCTCACACTTGAAGAAATACAGAGCATTGCAGATTACCAAGGGGAGGGGACAGATACACACAAAAATCAGTTGGGCTGAAAAGCCAGAAATTAGTCTCCTCAGGCCACACTGTCAGCAGAGAGGGATCAGTTTCTTCCGAGTGATTCAGAGCAAGACATGAACTTGTTGTGAATCACCACCTTTGGGCTGTATTAATCAGTAAGGCCGATTTAACAGCTTGTCACTGAAAGGGAAAGTCCTATACCCCGTGCTCTACTCCCAGATGCATAGCCCTGTCTCCTGCTTTACTCCAGCTCTGGTGTTTGTCTAATCCACAGCAAATCAATTCAACATATTAATGGACCTGAAAGAAACCAACTACCCCCCCTTAAAAAGACCCCAAACCATTCTGGGCTCATTTGTTGCTTCTTTGCAACTCAGTGTTGGTTTTCAGAGTGATCAGAGCACCAGTGGGCACATGGTCCGCAGCTGCAGCTGGCCTGCAGTGCCAAGAACAGGGAGTAGGGAAGGAGAGAGGAAAATGTGGCAACTCGGACTTCAGGAAGCAACAAGCTGCTAAATAAGATCAAGCTGTCTAATTAACTTCACTCATTAACTTAGCTCCTTGAAGTGTCGTCCTCATCCCGCTACAATTCCTCCCTATGCACATACACATTTGACTACACAGGGAGCTGACACCCTAATTCAATGCCTAAACTCAAGTTCAAAAGGTGACTGGTGTCCAAACTGAAGACTACTGTGAGATCCTGAGCTTTTTCCTCTTCGCTCCCCAACTTCTTCGATTTCCCCTGCTTGGTTGGGAATACGAGGGAGGTGAGCGTACAACCCTATAGTTATACTAGCAGGCCACTTCAGTAATATGGAAAACTGCGTAACAGAAAACACCAAAAAAATTTAGGAATACTTCCCCCACCCTAGATTCTACAGGTCTGCTGATTCACAAACGCCACTGCTTTAACAATCTCAAAGAAACTACATCTGCGTTAGAGGCAGCGCCTCTCGCCGAAAAGCCGTGCCGGCAGCGGGCGAGCTCAGCGGCGGTCCAGCCGCACGCCATTCAGCTGACAAGGACGGGCAGCACTCAGCCAGCTTCGGAAAACTATATTCAAAACCTGCTTGGGAGCAGGAAATGCTGCTGGACATCTCTCTTCAAAACTAAACTAGTGCTAAACCCACTACTGATGCTGATAGTTTACAACAGGAGACATTTTCCTGAATCACACTAAGAGAGAAAAAGCAGCTCGGCTGTCACGTTGAGGACAGGTGTTGCCTGCCAAGTAACACAGAGATTCAGCAGCTAAGCGACCATGTGCCCAAATCTTCAGTATCAGCTTAAGTAAAACAGTATTAGGCAAATTCTAACACAGAGTAACAGAATTAAAAACACAATGTAGGTCTTTCTGAATCCCAGAACCTGAAATCTAGATTAACTAGGCAGTTACTGATGTGTGGGGAAAACCTAGGGCAAAGGGAAGCTTTGATAGAAGGCAACAGTGAATTAATTACCAACACATAAATGCTGGTTACTTTGAAAGTCTGGTAAGTACTGCCACAGGAAGGTTTTCTGTGGGTTTATGTACTGTGTTTAAAGTATCTGCATTTGTTCTCCCCAAAAACTCAGCTGAAACAAATATGGAGGAAAGGCAGTATATGAAATCAAATAGACCAGCAAAGTGTTTTTGTTACACCGGTTTCAAAACAATCAAGCAAATACAATAAAGAACTACTGCAATCAGTCATGTGGACAGGACCCTCTCTCTTGCATTGTCAGTATCCAACCAAGTTTAATCAAGCCTATTTAAAATCAATGAAAAAAAAAGACCAAGAACAAGACGAAATGTGAAAACAATGTGTGTTTCTACACCCTACTTCTGACTTTCCAAACAGAAACTGAGCAATTCAGCCTTCCTGCAACTCCTTAGACTGAAGCAGATACTAAAGCATCTGTCAGATACTTTATCAAAAAGAGATGAAACGACAACTCGGGTATCCATCACTTGCAGTCAATACTAGATACTAATTCCTCATGTTCCCAAAGCACAGAACTCAATTCAAGTGTTACTCTCAGACTTTTGCTATTTAAATGTGTGTATTTCCTGCAGCATTTAAGCCTTTCATTCTATTTCTATTTAATTGTCAAAAATAATTAAATTTCTACACAGAAGATACCAGTGTCACTGAGTAATGACTTTTCTTTATGAAAACTAGCAAGAAATTTGGAAAAGGTAAAGATTGACTATTGTACAGATTTCTCAAAAGAAGACTGAAATAAAAAAAACCCCACAGTTCCTTCTGTAATCTTTTCAGCATTACTATTAGCATTAACAAGGTAATGTTAAATGTTTCCATTTAATCATCTGTGGAAGTAAAATTTAGCTTTTCTGTTAAGGCCAATCTCTTATTTTGGTTCAGTCATTTAATGAAGACGCATCACAAAATAAGCCTTTTTTGACAACGTGGTAATTTAGATCTTTTACCGATACATGCAAAATCTATATAGACATAAGCATTATAGTTAAAGTCTTAATTACTATACTTTTGTACACTTTGCAGAGTACTAATAGCTTAACACTTTCTTAATATAACAAGTATAAACACAAGTAACAGATATTGAGAGATTAGATAAATCCACAAGGCTATCTTTTCTCTTGTACAAAATTTACACTGAAAAATTACTAACCTTGTAGGTAAATATAAACCAGTTTTAAAACTTCCAAATATCTGCACCTGAAATACAATAACAGGATATATGAAAACAAATTTTCAGGCTTCAGAAGACAAACAAGTTTTATTAAGTTGCTTGTAAAGGCTGGTTATTGCTACCCTCCATTGGTAGATTTTGGTATTGCTAGCAGGCACACTGAACAGAAGTACTCTTTTCTGTTAAAGCACTTACATCTTCAATGTAGTATAAACAGCTAATCTTCATTGTTATTACCCACAAAACATTAACAACTTTCACTTTTCTATTACAAAACCTTCTTTGTAATTTACACATTTTCACCATGACCAAATTTGCCATAAACGAAAAGATTTTAAGAGACTTAAGAATGACAGGATATTAAAAAACTCAGCATCAGTTCAATTTATTTTTTGCTTTCATATCCAAAGTATACCCTTCAGTTTTTAAGCACATTTTCTAAGTCTACTGTATTTCCATTGCTTTGCATACTTCAAAAAAAAAAAAAGAAAAAATCAAATCACGATCCATTTTTTCTTCTGAATTACAGAGCAAGTAGCACAACTGTTTATTTCTGCTTAAACGACAAACAAAAAAGTTTCAGGAAGTTTCACATCCCACAGATTTAGGTTATTGCGCTGGATTTTTACTAGCACTGGAGGTTTAAATGATCGGTTTCCATTGCAAGCTGTCCGAAACCACGCTCTCAGTAACTTACCAAACCTCGAAGGGAGGCTGGACTCATGTGCTAAGTCTCAAAGAGGGACTGGTGAGACTTCAAAGTAAAAACATCTACACATTTGGACTAATTTGCAACCAGTCTTCTGATGTATTTCCTGGAGCCGTGTTACAGACTTGTGTATTCTGCTTTAATGAGTCTCATACAGTGGCTTGATTGCCACCGATTTGTATGTCAAGTGACACACTTTTTATGTTTTTCCCCTTCAGGATAAGAAAAAAGGGGGAGACAGGAAAAGATGATGCGTTGCAAGTAAGCGTCTTGATACTTCAGTAAACTAAGAAGCGGTACGAGTGCTTCCTCTAGATTAATTCATATCACTTCACTCTTTTTACTCTCTCACCCCCAACAAAAAGCACACGCTGGCAGTAAATTTAACTTTGAAAGTTCAGAGCTTCTCAAACCAGAAAAGACTATAAGAGATGCCACAGAACTGGCATCAATATTGTACCAGATCTTGACAAAAGCATAAAGGCATCATAAAGCTAGGAATGCAATAATAGTAATGATTACTATTTTTAATCCAAGATAAAAATAAAAACATCCTCTGTGAAACTGTTCAGGTTCAGTCACACCAGGATTTATTTGGCCATCAAAATCATCTGAAAAGTTCTTTTGCACAATAAAACAACCACTGATGGGTTTGGAAAAAACTAAATGTGCTTTTACATTACCAAACAGAATAGTGTGTTCAGCTGAACAGCAAAGAGAGCCCTTATTGAACAAACAATCCTGAAAATATTCATAAACTTACTGATACAACGTACATGACCTTTACCAAAAGGAATGAGACAACATCTGCTGTTGTACAGTAATTTGGAGTATGAGAAACACTGAATTATTACAAAAGAAACTCACACTTAAATTCCTCTCTCATCAAATCTGGAAAGATGAAAGAGGAAGAAGTGAGGAAACGGGAACAGAAATTTTAAATTATTTTGATTTATTATTGAATCGGAATTTGAACTTTTGTAGCTCTGTAGCCACGTACATATTTAAAGCATCTCAAATACAGGACACTATTATGACTTGAGAAATGTGAGTATTAGTTTTTGTGGTGTGCCAAGGCTGCCCATTATGTTTTTATTCTATGCAGAGATACGTATTTGCATTTATAAGATAACTTAAGACTTCACAGTGACATAATAGGCTCCTCCTACTCATCTACGTTATTGTTACTATTTATCCTACATTTCTGCAAACTTGTTGGTATTACATTCCAGAGCTCCTGAAGGAGCTTTAATTATGGTATGTGTCCAAATATGTCCTCACTATGCACAGCAGAACTTGGAGACCCATAAAAGCTACCAAAACCCCTCCATCAAAACAAAACAAAAAAAAAATCTATCCATAGCCAATTTAAATTTCTCTTTCTTCTACATCATTAAGTAGAATTTTCTGAAGTTTGCCAAACTAAATAGAGTTCATCTTTCTACTTCCACTCCCAATCATAGTATTTTCATAACTGAAGTGCGTGAAGTATGCAACATTACCTCTTTTCAGATCTACGAGGCCACATAATACTCAGACACAAAGCTGAGGACATGATGACAAGCGTATCCTAAATTCCACTGTATAAGTACTTACTCGTTCAAAACTTTCATATTCAACTGGTCAGAAAAACTTTGACTTAAAATGCTGTTGTTTAATGTTTTGGGTTGTTCTGTTTCAGTGTAATTAAAGCCTTTCTTACGGTCAGAACCTTGCTGATGCCAAGAACAGTTCTCACTTACTAGGAATGTTTCCTTCTAAGCACATTCCCTTGAGTAAGAGAGCAAATGACACAATTGCTAACTTCTATAAATAAAGTAACAGTTTAGGATACCTAGTTTTACCCCCCCTCCATCTGCTTTTTCAGTCTTTTCTTAAATGGAACAGGGAAAAAAAAATAATGTGTACAGACACACTCCACATGCTCTCTATACAGTTAGATTCATGAAGCCTGATTTTACTTTTCTCGGTATCTGATTTTAATAGAGTACGTCTTACCTACATGTTCAGTGAGAAACTACAAACTAAATGCGTATGTTTAACTTACAAGTTTATTTTAGCTGGTTGCACTGCACCTATGACTCAAAGTGAACAGCTTAAACATTAACTTACCACTTTACACTACAGCTAAAGCTGAGGACATTGGACCAGACAACAATCCACCTTCTCAGAGCATGTACTCAAAACTTAAATCCTACAAGTATCTAAACCAACACAGATTTCCAAAAAGTTAGTGATTAACTCAAACAACGGAAAAATTACAACAAAAGGCTGTCAAAGTTGAATGCAGTTGAATTCAGCAGTTCAGTTCCCAACCAGATCTGTAAAGTAAGTATTAGAAAAATAACATTACAGTAATTTCCAGGTTATAATCTGGTGTGCTGTTGTCACCATTCAGTTCCCTTCTAGCCTTCAGAAAACCAAAAGGGATACAAAAGGAGGCTTCTTCCTCAACACAACAGCAGACAAAATGCAGCGTTAGACTTTGAAGAGCAGTTACTGACTTGAGAAGAAGGAACTGTCACGCTCTTGCTCTCTACATTTTCAAGAGGAGCAAAGACAGTCATGGCAGTTCTAACTGGCGATGACTGAAAAGCGAACTTCAGCCTTCAACTGCCTGGTGCGCGCTGCTTCTCACTCATGTCACAGCTAAGCCCAGTGCTCAGTTGTCGCTGTGTGGTAGGGCTTGGAATTTGCTTCCCTTCTTAAATTGATTATGGCTACAAAAAAACAGTTTCAGTAGCTTAAAGAAAAACAATTTTCACAAGTCCCTCGCAGGAGGAAAGAGCATTCCTCATCCTAACGATACTGCTGTCTCAATTTGGTTTGCTATTCCTGCTAACAAGTCCTTATTTTCAGCTACTGTTATCTACAGATAGATGACTACGGCTACAAATCCACATTCTTGAAACGAACACTACATTAGTAGAGGGATACAATTAAACTAGATTCAATTATGCTAAAAATCCAACTGTCCCCATAAACCAATCCTGAGTTGTAAAAGCAACTTCTCTGGCTTCTCTTTAATTCAACCTTAACTAAAAAAGCATAGTTCTGCACAGGAGAAACTCTTGTTTCAACTCAATAAAGTACTAGCAAAAATCTGTCTTTGGTGGAAAGAGGCATTATATATCTAGTATATATAGAGAGAGTGAAGAGATTTACAGACTTGTTTCTTCCTGTAAAAAAAAATGGTTCCTTCACATTTGTAAGATATTCCAATTTGGTCTAACTACCCTTAAAACCAGCATTGTTTACGTACTGTGGCATTGCACTTTAATAGATTTATTCAAGGCCACAAGTCTTTGGACTAGAAGTCCTCCTACAGACTCTTTCAGTCAAGCCCTGTGTTTCAGAAGATTTTTTTCCTTTTTAACATAATACTTTACAAGCATGCATGCATGCCTGCCTGATATTTTCCCATTAATCTTATAAATATTAATGAGACTAAATGTTGCCACATCTCATGCCCTTTCTTTGACTACAGTAGGTCCAGCTTGTCTTTGTTCCTTTGTGTGATAGAAAATGTTGACCTGCATTATTCTAGAAATAAAAATAATCTCTCTCAATTGACCAGAAATCCTTTTGTTGTTTTTTTTTTTTAATATGGAAAAATAAACAGCATTTTCATTATTCAATACTTCACAAAGTAAACCGGCACAAAATGTTGCTTTTACATATTAACAAATAAAAGTCTCCTACTCACATCTGCATTAGGCCAGAGCTCTTTTATAACGTTTTCTATCCTGTTCACCACTTCCATCCGCATTCTCTCTTCTTCAGGTCTGGGAGACATATACTTATAAAAGTCAATGATTTCTTCATGAAGGCTAAGAAAGAAAGGAAAAAAAAAAGAATAGAAAGTCAGGAAAAAAAACCACACAGGAGAATGAAATAGCAACTACTCTAATCAAACATGTTTTTTAAGCTCCTGGTTACCTATTTAGTTAGGGGGCAGTTTAAGAGTAGCATGCAATTAAAAGAAAATCCAGATTCACAACACTTAGGAACACTTAGTTTCATGTTGATTCCTTATGCCACAGGTCAATATTGCACTGCGTTTGCTAAAAGCAAATCTAAATCTAAGCACCCTCAACTCACACTGAAAGTCACACTCTGTATTCTAATGCCAGAGTAACACAGAAATGGTTCAGTCTTCAGTGATGAACGCAGCTCTAAGCTCCGAGTACACACTTTGCAAAAATTCAAACAGGAGGTTTTCAGCCAGCGCTTCCCAGTCAGCCCCTTGGCACCAGCCAGGGAGTTTCAGGCATCAGCCTGTGTTCAGTACCAAGCTTTTAAGAAGTTGCTACTCATTGTGCCAGTACTAGAGCCAGAAAAACTGCCTCTTCTACTGCTTAGAGAGGACGCATAAACTAAATATGCACTCTTTTCCCCGTAACAAGAAAATAAGTAGCAGACACGCAGCAGCGGTGCTCAGAAGGGTGACTGACAGACTGTTAACCCATATATTTGACATTTACCATATTACAGGTGCTTCACGCAGTCAGTAAGTTATGTTTAGATTGCCTATGATTGGAGCTGAAATAAAAATGTCCTCATACAGTGCTACAAATTTCTGCTGCTGTAATATCATAAACACATCATCATCTTGACTAACAACATATTTTAAAAAACCAGACACAATCCTTTAATTCCAGCGAAATTCGGAGGAACTCTGGCACAGACTAGCTAAATTAATTTCATTTGTTTCCTGCAACAACCATTACAGTAATAGCTAGTTATTTTTCAAAAATGTATTGTTTCTAGTTACCAAGTGCAACTGCATCTCTCCTTAAAGCTCTGAGGGACCATCATGAGAGAGCAATTTATTTATTAAGAGCAAGTCCTTAGATGACATGTGCAATCTAATACTTCTCCACTGCACACACAATTAGATAAATCAAATGTTAATAACTGGAAGTTGTACACAGGTGTCAAAAAAAGCAGATTAAACTATCTGAAAGTTGCATTTAATGGAGTCAGAAGTAGGGACAGAACTCAAACCATCTGCACTATGCTCTTCAATACTGCAGTGTTATGAACAACTCAAGCTTCTTTCTCTCAGAGACTGAGTAATAAAATATTTACATTGCTTTTCACTGAGTATTTATTGGAATTTCCCCCACACATGGTTAGGGAAATAGTCATAAAGCCTAGCAACTTGAGGCAGCCATCACCACAGGCTCTCTACAGCTAAGGTAAAAACTCCTTTGATGAGTTCCTCCAAAGGGAGATCCAGACAGATACCCGATTTAGCTGTTCTAAATCAACCCTTGGAGAAGCTTCTCCTCCTTCAACGCCTACAGAGGGAGTCTTACAAATGCTTAAATTAAAAACAACAATAAACCACACACCCCCCCAAATATCTCCTGCAAAAACGCAAGGTACCATCACCCTCCTCCTCCCCAGTGTTCCTGCCACACCAGCACCAAGCCCTGCTCACACACCTCAGGTACCACAGGATGTTCTGAACAACGTAGCTCCAATATTCATACCGATAAATACCGTTTTCAGCATTTGTTTTGATGTTGCTAGGAAATTTCTTACCTCTTCCTACAGCTGCTTTCTTGCTTTTCCTTGAAAGCTTACAACCTGGGGTTAACATGCACATTCCAAACCACCACTGCCATTCCTTACACAGGCACTCACTCCTCTGCCTTTGGCTTTTCAGCCATCTCCTGTTCTTCTATTCTTCATTGCTATTCAATGTGTTGGCACTCAAACCTTCTCACAGCTATCCTCCCATTGCGGAAATTGAATTCAGAGGAGAAATATGGAATAAAGGACAAGTTGAACATTTCAACAACCAAGTTGACTCTCCGTCCCCACCGCCAGTCACACATACTGAATCGCTAATTTAGTCTCCACAGGCTTGACCATTAAGGTAACATTCAAAAACAGGAGCAACAAGGAAGACAGGCAAAAAAAAGGATAATCAAACTCTAAAATAAACACCAATTATTCTTCAACTGTAATTTGGTGATCCAGCTTCCAGGAAGACCTGGGAGTCAGCCCAAGGCTTCCTATCACGTCTGGCAAACTCTTTCACTTTCTTTGTGGGCTACATTTTAGGGGATCAATCAAGCAACACAGCCCTGTTTCTGCCTCTGCTCCTCTGGACGAGCTGGAACAGACTGGTTACATCCACGAGGCCCAAGATTTGCCCCAGAGCAATGTTTTTAGCAACGTAACATTGAGCGCACGCATGCGCGGCGTGCCATGAGGGGTGGCCCCACCTTGTCTGAGGGCGCTTAAGGGCACAAGATGTGCTGGGATAATACCGAGGGACTCCCTGGGGAGAAATTCATGTATGGCACAGCACAAATCCATACTGTCCATCATTAGTGGACCCAGCTGCTTCCGGGCTTCTGCTTTATGGGAGTTAATTGTTCCCCTGCCCCGTAAGGGAACTTCGAAAGAACGAGGCACTCAGAAATTAGGTCCCCGAAGTGCACAAAGGGGTAAGTCATACAGACCCTGCGGTTCTCAGGGCACTTCTCTCTGTTAACTCCACTGACACTCTTAATTGAGAGAATTATATCAATTGGTGCATTCTTTAGAAGCGTGCAAAATAATGATGTGTTGTCAGAGCCAGATGTATTTCTTTTTCTAAACATAAATAACATATGACTGCATGTCTTTAAATGGGATCTTTCTTCTTCTTAGGTAGTCATGTAAAGCTTTATGGCAAAACAGAAAACAAAGCAGCATGCATACACTCAGAAACTTCCAGTACACAAGCACTGAATGTTACTAAACAACACAAACATAGAAAAATTGAAATTTGAACTTTCTCAATGATAGAAGACAGGCTTAAAGACTACTAGAGAAAGTTCCCACCAGCACATCAGTTGGAAATACTACAGACATATCTGTGTTTCATCTGCTCCAACACTCCATGCTGCTAGGACCGCCTGTGCTGCACAGAGCCGCAGCAGGCAGAAGCCGTACAGGCTCAAGCCTACACCTGGAACCGTATCTCCCTGCCCAGTAACGGCTTGTGCCAAGAAATAAAGGAATGATTAATTAAAGCCAAGACAAACAGAAATAGCCACATGCAGATTTCCAAGCAGTACAACAGGACTTAAGAGGCGTGATTCCAATTGATGTGGAGTTAACTCAAGCTGTATTGAAAATTAAAACTCAAGGTTACTCACTGTCTTAATCAACAACTATTATAGTCGTTGTTTTTCAAAACAATTTGTTTGGATTAATGGAGTCTCTTTACAAGAGTCTCTAGTGGAATTTTATATCTTTAGCCAAAATGAAGATCAAAGAGAAGAGATCGAAAAGTTATTTTTGGCACGGTAACCATATTTTATTATTTAATGCCATTACATTCATTAGTTATTTTAGATAAAAGTCCTTAAAAATAGACTTGTTTTTAGAAGGAAATTACACTGTAATAAAACTGATTTCACTATGGAGAGATATTTCATTTGGCTTCGTAGTCATACTGAAGTGTGCCAACACCCAAGACTTACTTAAGATGCATGGAAAGAGTTCTCTGCGATGCATAAAAGCATTAGTTTACTCTTTTTATTACAGTAAATAGCAGTAAACAAGTGGGTCTTTGTCCCGTACTTCAGGAAATCTTAACACATGGCAAAAAGAAAAATAAAAGTGTCTCTTACACTTACTCTAAGTACCTTTTAAAACAAAGTACTAGCTCCATCCTACCCTGTTTTCAAGCCTGATAAGATGATTCCATCAGAATTTCACAGCCAGAACAGAATTATAGAGAAGAGAAGCCACTAAATTTAGTAGATTATAGGGTCTGTTATGTTTACCTGACAGAGACAGTGATGTGTCATTAAAAAATAAATTATGGCTGCAAAAGTTGTAATCACAAGAAGGACTTCCCACCGTAACATCACTGAACAGCACCAGGAGGAACGCGAGTCTGCTCGACTCACGCCATCCAGGTGAAAAGCCTCAGCTTCTGCGCAGATGTGAGTACGACGGAACAGAGTGCATTACATTTCATTCTTAGTTTGATCATACCTTACTTTATTTTGTAGCACAACGTGAGGGCTCTAAACATGCAACTCAGGATTCTCAAAGTAGTTTACATATATCCAAGATAGTTCTGACTGGTTTTGCCTAATCACACAATAGCAGTTAAGCATTGCCTTTGCGTACCAACAAGCAGTATTACACTAACCAGAGTAATAAGTTTTAATAGAAAAGTTTCCTGCTTTTGTCAATCTGGAATTGTGTTACAGTTCCTCTCTCCCCTGGCTCTTCTTCACTCTTCATTTCACAGGAGAAATTATGCAGGCATGCATGTTCTAATTTCCCTCACCAGGGTGTTACCGATAGCTTCTGCTCCAACTGTCAAAAAAGACCAGGTTAAAAATTCTGCTCATCCATCCCAAAGAGCTTCCTCTGCCTTGGGCACAAGTATTTTGTTGCATGGGAAATGCTATTTTCAACATCACTGAAGATAATTTAAAACAATGGATATTAACCATACGCAAAAAAAAAATAGTATGGTGCTGTTGTGCTACAATTTATGCTTCGGCAGGATTTTCTGAAGGAAGGTTCATTTTCAGAATGATGAAAATCTGAATTATTTAGAACCTTTGTGGACGGTGGGCAGAAGTAAGCAATAAACACACAGATGACTCTTGCCTTCCCAAACTCTATGCTTTAAAATGAATCACTTCTGATTTAAGAGTTTATCGATTTTATATCCACACCTGGATGGGATATTTGCTATATACCCCAGTAGCACCAAATAAGTCTCTGGTATCTAAATTTTGTTTGGATGAATAATTCCTATAGGACAGTGTTTAGTGGCCCCTACCATTTTAAGTCTC